TCTCCATAGACAGTAAAACAAAACCAATTTCTAAAAATTAAATTCAGGAAGTACTGAATCTATACAATTTTGTTGTACTTCATGTCAGCTTCTGAAGAAAATTCTTGGTGACAGCCCCTCTATGGAGGCAGCTACACTTAAATAAATGTAGCAAAAGTAAAATAGCATTAAACTGATTTTTATTATTTGGTTGTTTTTTCCATATTTATGGAACATTTAGCAAGATTTATTTGAAAAAAAACCCTGTAAATATATATGGGAAAACTGTAGGTAAAAAGTACACTCCAGTGGGGACAATGAAAGTCCAAGCAATATAAAAGTCCACCCAATTCTATATGCAGAAACTATTTTGGCCATTTTTCAGACCCTGAGAATATAGAATATCCCCAGACTAACATACTATTTTTTTAAAAGACTTAAATAACAACAGGAGTAGAAATTACTGATGGAGGAAAAATCCTTCTAATATTTGTCCTAAAGGTGCTTTTTTATGAGGCAACTGGACTTTCTTGTTTTTCTTTGAAGACTTTTTGCTTCTCATCCAAGAAGCTGCTTTAGTTCTGACTGGATGGTGGGGAATAGAAGGATTTAAATTCTATGCAGACAGCTGGTCATTTGCATTCTTTTAAGAGAGTCATTGAGGCCATTTGGAGATGCAAATGTGTGTGGGGCCTTCTTGGCTGCATGATGTTTTCTGCTCTGTGTCCCTTCACTGTTGAAGACAGGCACAGGCTGTTGGCGATGAGTCTGTGTTGTCTGCATCTCAAACTGAAGCACGATTGGTCCCTGTAGTCTGCAATGTTTTCTGGAAATCCATTCATACTCCTGCACCATTCGAAGGGTGTTCACCACAAAGTGCATAGCTAAATGTCTATGGAGAATCTTCAACAGTGAAGGGACACAGGGCAGAAAACATCCTGCAGTCAAGAAGCTCCACACACATTTGCACTACTCAGGTAACCCTGAGAACACAAGTAAACCTCCAAATGGCCTCAACGACTCTCCCAAAAATTGCAAATGACCACTGCCTGCAAGGAATATACATTTTTTCATTCCCCACCATCCAGTGAGAGCTGAAGAAACTTCTTGGATGAGAAGCGAAACGTCTTCAAAGAAAAACAAGAAAGTCCAGTTGCCTCCTGAAAAAGCACCTTTGGGACAACCATGACCTGGATGACTGAGAATCTCCATAGACCCTTTTAATATTTAACATCATTTACTATCGAGTTAATGCACAAAAGTACTGTACTTTATTTGGAGTAGTCTTTTTAAAAAATCTTTCTTTCGCAAGAGTTGAATACTTTAGTAAGGCCCAAGACTACATTCTTAAAAATACAAGTTATTTATGAAACCTATCAAAAAATAGAAATTAGCACTTACTTTGAAGCTCAGCATCCAATTTGGAGAGAAATTCAATATTAAATATAGCCTTTATCACTTTCTGTGGAAAATACCCAGCAGAAGCCAAAGCAAAACCAAGCAATACAAGAAGAGAAGGTTCAAAATGTTCTGTACAAAATAAATAGATTAATGCATAATATTAAAAATTTATTATCTGGGTTCCTGAGAGCTAAATACTTAGCATTTCTAAAAGGTTTAGATGGGAATAGAAATAATATATTTCACAACCTTACTTACTGTTAATTGCTTTATTTTAGCAATGTTTTTAGTTTCATATTCTACCAAGTTATTAAGATTAGATGCCATACAATCAGTGTAAAGAATGAAAGGAAAAATACCAGTTCTGAAATTGTTTTAATAAAGTTTTTAATTCTTCTTCTCAGTTTTGAAATCTCTAAGTATTTTCCAAACTATGAAGTTATCTATTTTGTATGACAAATATCACTTTCATTTTCTTTTCTTTTTGATATTTCAGGTTTTTATTTATTAAAAATTTATTTGCACCGCTTTGAAAGATGCCCAAAATGTTCTATAATAATCTAAAAACATTTGAGATCAGAAACAAAATAATCCGTTGTTAAGAAATTGGGAATTCACGTCTGAGGAAAGCCAAGATAACGGGCCTTTAAAAGATACATCAGCATTGGCGCTGACTGTTGCCGAGAAATGTTTTAAATGCATTCAAAATAACTCTACCATGTACTATACAACAGAAGGGCCAGCTTGGCACAAACAAGTTAAACTTATTTGTCAAGATCCTACCATCAGCCCAATAATATTGTGTGGATGAATAATGAATAATCAGCATGGAACGAAGGGCATGATGCCAAATATCACTAAGTAGGGCAGGACCTTATTGTTTTTGTTCATTGGGCATATGTTTAAGAGAAGAACAGATTTTATACCCACATACTCTCCACATAACTAATGTTAAGAACAGTGATAATATGCATATTACTCCTGTATTTGCTCGGTTCTTTGCAGCAGATTGCTTCTTCACAAACTTACAAAGTTTTGCATTTATGCTTATGGCACTTTTGTAACATATTTTCTAAAACTGAGCGACTTTGTAAGCATCCTTAGAGAAAAAAACCAGATGAAACACTCTTAAAAATCCATTATTCATGTCAAAAAAGGTCTATTTTCAGTGACCATTTTAACGTATTCCTACTTATACACTGTAAACGTACAAAAATAACATTGTAGTTATTTTTAAAAGCTATAGAATGGGACAGTGCCACATCATGGCTGGCTCTTTAAATTTCCTCTTTAATAAACATTCAGAAATTAGAATATTCTCTATGAAAACAATGAAAGAGCCCAAATAAATATATTTGCTTTCTTTCTTTCTAAGAAAGAGACAGAAACAGAAGAGTTTATAGTTTGACATTTTCTTTACATGTTGATAATTGTCACTTCCAGAAAAATATACTGCTCAAAAAAATAAAGGGAACATTTTAACATGGAACTGAAGGAGTTTGCGTTCCCTTTATTTTTGTGAGCAGTATATAATCTGACCATCATTTTGATAACAAACTTACCCAAGTGAAGACAGATATGATTAATGCAAGCCTCAAAAAATTTCTCAGCTTCAGGGGGTTCATAATTAAATAAAGAAAATAGAGCAAGAATAACATGTACTTCTGAATAATAGATCTAGAGAAAGAAAATAGGAGAAATCAGCTCATCTGTTTTTGCCAGTTTTGCATAACATTCAAAAACCAACCACCCATCAACCTCTCCAAGATTTCTTCAAACCCAGGAGAGAAGAATTTTTCAAATATTCTGGTCCCAAGAATTTTTGATACTTCTAGCACTTTTAATTATGCTCTGAAACAGAAGGGAGTCATGCTTTTCTAATCAGGTCCATTGCTTACTTGCAATAGTCTGAGCATTTTTTAAAGGCTACCGCCAGGTTATACTAATCCAGTGGTTCTCAACCTTTTTAATGCCGTGACCCCAACCGGTCGTAAGTCGAGGACTAAACCGGTCGTAAGTCGAGGACTAAACCGGTCGTAAGTCGAGGATTAAACCGGTCGTAAGTCAAGGACTACCCAACCGGTCGTAAGTCGAGGACTTTCCCTGCCCGGGAGCGCCACGCATGCATGGTTCCGCCCCCTGCGCCGGCCGAGGTGTAGCTGGCAAGCGGTAGAGACGGAGCAGGCCGACCACCAGCTGGCCCAGCCCAAGGGAGGTAAGGCACCCGCCGGAAAAGGGGAAAAAAATGGCGGACATAAAAAATGGCGGACAGCCTTGCTTGGCGACCCCCATGAAATGGTCGATCAACCCCAAATGGGGTCCCGACCCACAGGTTGAGAACCACTGTACTAATCCATGTAAGATTTAACTAAGTATCTGTCACTATAGATGTGGCACCTCAACAAAAGATATAGAAATTTGTTTTATAAACAGAACCCCAACCCCAGCAAAACCTGGGCACCTAGGTTCAGATGACAATTCTGAACTAAACCTAAATAGAAAACTTCACCCTATAACAATCATAATCTGAATTCTGATTTCGTTTCTTATCTTCAACTAATAGAAATTTGTAAATGAAGGAGGAGAAAACATTTATTTAAAACAAGTGATTGGGTGGGAGATGCAAAGGATTGCTTAACCAAGGATGTCTGATTTGGAAGAAGCTGGTTGCTTGATGGATTTTAACCCTTTCTATAACAGGAACTATGTTTTATTTCTCGCCTCCACTCCACCTTCATTTGTTGATTTTTTTCCCTCATCTCCATCCAATTTTGTTTTCTGCTTTCTCTTCCCTTTTCAGTACATTTAGTTCTTATTATTCCACTACCATCCTATCTTTTTCTATTTCTGAATCTATGTGTGTGTAAACTGTGAGATTAATCTGTATGCAAGGAAGAGAATGCAAATGAAGAATCAATTAATTTTAAAAAACAGTTCAATTATTTTCTAGGCAATTAATATTAATCATTAGTTATTAATTCAGTTAATATTAATTAGGCATTTTTTTCATAGCCCTGCCCTTTTTGGAGTTGCTTCTGATAAGTAAATACACTGGTGTTTAAAAGTTTGTGAACCCTTTGAATTTTCAATATTTCTGCATAAATATGATCTAAAATGTGCTTGGTTTTTCACACAAGGACTTAAAATAGTTGAACAGTACCTACTTAAATAAGTCAAAAACTTTATTCTGGCTTATTTACCTATTGAGGGACACCCATCCAAAGCTAATATTTGTGTGGCAAAATTATGTGCGCCTCTAGGACAGGCATGTCAAACACAGGGCCCACAGACCAGTGGTGGCCCACGCAGGACACGCAAAGGCAAAGAAACTCCCGATACGTCATGATACAGCCCGCAATGCAATCAGGCTTGACACCCCTGCTCTAGGACTATTGAAGGAAAATTGAAAGTGAGTAGTTTCAATCACCTGACTCTAATTTTGGGATAATAATCAGGTATGAGTATGGGAAGCCCTGCCTTATTTAAAGAAGAGAATTCGGGCTATTCATCATCAAGGTCTGATTTTCATAGCACAGCTATGTGGAAGTGTGTCATGGCTTGAACAAAAGGGATTTCTAAATTGCTGAAAAACAGTTGTTGATGCTCACTGAAGAAAGCCACCAAACTATTTCCAAAGCGTTTGGATCCTATCAATTCACTGTTAATTAGATTGTGTACCAATAGAGACAATTCAACACCAATGCTACCCCACCCCACCCCAGTGGTTGACCGATCAAGATCATATCAACAGCAAGGCCTATAGTAGTCTGGGAAATCTTAAAGAACCCGAGAGTAACTAAAGGCCTTTCTTGCACTGATAAATGTTAGCGTTCATGAGACCAACATCAGAACTCCAAACAATGGTGTGCATGTCAAGGTTACCAGGAGAAAGTCAGTACTCTCCAAAAATTAAATAAACATTGGTGCTAGTCTACAATTTGCAAAAGTGGATAAGACAAAAGGATGTTGTGGAAAAAAGTTGGGTGAACTTTTTGGCATGAATGAAAAGTGCATAAGGTATTTTACCCATGAAGTAGGGCTGTATTGTTATTATCCTTTTCATCTTCTCATATTTCTCATCTTATTTTACCAATTTTTCTATTGATACCTTATGATTAATCACTTGTTTGTATCTTATGATTTATGATTGTATCTTATGATTTATGATCTATGACGTATCATTTTGTGGACTGTATGTACACTGAGAGCTTATGCACCAGAAACAAATTCCTTGTGTGTCCAATCACACTTGGCCAATAAAGAATATAAAGAATAAAGAATATTCTTATCTCATCTGTGAAACACAGTGATGGAAATTTCACAGTCTGGGTCTGCTTTGCTGCCTCTGGACCAGAATGGCTTGCCATCATTGATGGGATTACAAATTCTGAATTATCAAGCAAATTCTATATAAAACTATCAGGCATCTTTCTCTGAGCCAAAGCTCAAGAGAAAGTGGGTCATGTAGTAAAACAATGACCCCAAAAAATAAGATGTATCATCAAAGAATGATTAAATGTTTTGAAATGGCCAAATCAAAGTCATGACTTCAATCCTAGAGTAATGATTTGGGAGGACCTGAAGTGAGCAGTTCATGTGAAGAGGCCACCAATATCCCTAAATTGCAGCTGTTCTGTAAGGAGAAATGGGCTAAATTCCTCCAAGCCGATATGCAGGACTGAGCAACAGATATTGGAAATGTTTACATGAAGTTCTTGCTGCACAAGGAGGCCACACCAGTTACACCTACTTTTGCCACACACAAATATGTAACTTTGGGTATCATTAAAATGAAAATCTATGAAATCAGCTATGCACATTCAGTTTCCATTGATTCCATTTCAATTAGCCACCCCACATTTTAATATTTTTTTAAAAAAAAAACCAAATAATCATTATTTGAGGTTGTATACAGGTAGTGTTCGACTTACAACAGTTCATTTAGTGACCATTCAAAGTTACAATGACACTGAAAAAAGTGACTTTTGGCCGTTTTTCATACTTAAGACCATTACAGCATCCCCATGGTCATATGATCAAAATTCAGACGCTGGGCAACTGACTCATATTTGTGACAATTACAGTGTCCCAGGATCATGTGATCTACCTTTTGCAAACCTTCCGAGAAACAAAGTCAATGGGGAACCCAGATTCATTTTACAACTGTGTTTACTAACTTAACTGCAGTGATTCACTTAACAAATGTGGCAAGGAAGGTCGTAAAATGAGGCAAAATTCAATTAACAAATGTCTCACTTAGCAACAGAAATTTTGGGCTCAATTATAGTCATTAAGTCCAATATACTGCCTGCATATTCAACATTTCTGCATAATGCTCCTCGTACCATCTGTAATACGATAAGTCAAAATATATGTATTTCTGAACTAAAATATATTGTAAATTATTTAGAAGCAATGCATAATTTGTATTAAACATGATTTAAAGGAGGAGCTCTGTCAATTCAAGAGAGTACAAATTAAAGTTTTAAAAAAGCATAAAAAGAACAGCACAGAAATATAAATAGGTATGGCATTGTACAGCTGGAATTAGAAGAAAACAAGATTGTACCAGGAATGTGGAAATAGAACAATAGAGTTGGAAGGGACCTTGGAGGTCTTCTAGTCCAACCCACTGCTCAAGCAGGAGACCCTATGCCATTTCAGACAAATGGTTATCCAGTTTCTTTTTGAAAGCCTCCAGTGATGGAGCACCCACAACTTGTGAAGGCAAGCTATTCCATTAGAGTGACAGCAATGTATGACACTACCTTCTAACAAATCATATTCTTTGGGTACCAAGCCCACGTTTTTCACATAACCAGTAGGGGCCCTGAGACCTAATTTGTATGCTACAACTGAACCTTCAGCGTGTACAGTAAATGCTCTATTGCTGCTCTATTGCAGCCCTTCCCTCGTTGCGCACGGCTCATTTCATCATTCTCAAGCGAGATACACGATATCATTTGTACCTGATCGATATGTTCAGTGGTAACCGCAGCTATTCTGTCAAGTAATAGTGTACAGCGGTAGTTGGTTCCAAGGAGAAAGGATGCAAACTTCACTACATTTGACCATGTAATCTGATCTCTCAACTGACGTAAAGTAATTATGGTCTTCTCGAGAAGCACTTCTTGAAACCATTTTCCATGTATGTATCTGAATTCCTTCAGCAAAAGATCCAAATTGTTTATTTCCTCAAGTCTCTGAAATGCGCAACTGTTAATTTTTTGCAAAAGTGACCTGTATGGTCCAGAATAACTTTTCTGATTTGGCTTCTGATGTTTCATCCATTTTAGGAGATCTATGGTAAAGCGATTGAGCTGACTCAGATTGCACTGAGGTATGATGGCATCAATTTGAGTAACTACAGCTTCATCCACATAAGGATAAGGAAGATTAGAAAGAGCATGAACCAGCATTAGAATATCAGCGGGGAATCTTTTAACTTGTAAATGGCTGGAATTGAAACAACAACAAAAAAAATCCATTAAATAAATAAATAAATAGGGGACCATTAATTTAAAAAATGAATGTACAAGATATATGTGTACCATATATGTTTTTACTACATGATTTTCAGTTAGATCACATGCATACTTATTAAAATGTGCTGAGGACATTTATGCTAGAAACCTGGAACCAAAGAACAAAAAAATAAGCAACCAACAGTATTAAACTTTTATTAGATAATTTAAACCATTAATCTATGAATCTCAGCTAAGAATTTAATTAATATATCTATTAAAGTCATAAAAATAAACACAATATGTTTGACTAAATGTATGTTCTATATTTTCAGATGATGCACATATATTGTTCAGAGCATAATTTTACAAATGAAAGACACATTCTATCAACAAATATCTCTTTAAAATTGTCCTAATGATACATATAAATAAAGCTACACATTAACTAATTCAAACTGCATTCCTAAAGGAAACAGATAATAAAAGATAGATGTGATATCTAAGTTATGCCCTTCTGTCAATGGAAACTATTTCCTAAACATTGCTGGTCCCTAAACTTCTTACAACTGTCTGTCTGTCTGTCTATCTGCAGTTTTGATCAATAGAGGGACATGTAGGTAGATGCTACTCAAATAGAA